GTGTAAGATATTGTATATATGGATAGTAATGCATTAAAGTGAATACAAAATTGAATAAGACTCTAGACAAATTCCCAAACGGCAAAAGTAAATAGCTTTCAAATGGTTTTATTAATAAAACAATTTTAAGAATGGGATTTTTATGGTGAGCATTACTTAGACAGTGCTTTGGATAAATATGATTTATGATATCACACCCTAACTAGCACAGTAGTAGAACTATAGACTTGACTGAGTATAAGAAGGTTAAAAAAAGTTATTTTTATAATAAATAATATATAAGAGCATAAGTCTAATAATCTTTGTACATGATCCAAAACACACTGAAGTCAAGGAAAAAGCTAATTGACTAGCCAGCATCTGGAATTAGGTTAATAAAGAATCCTAAAAAAAACCAAACCCTTTCCTCTTTTTCTGGGACTAAAACCCACCATAAACTATCCAAATGTTACTACAATAAGAAATAATCTTCTCCTCCCCACCAAGAGAAACTTAACTGAGCTAGACGTTCCAGCAGTGAAAAGGTTACAAAAGAAAAACTCCCTGCCCTATATAGTTTAAAGAATTACACTTCAATCTATTAAGCACTTCCTTTCTTATAAACTCCAAACAGAAAAACTGTTACATATTAAACATATTCTGTCTTGTTTTTTTCTCTTGTGCATCCTATTAGTCATCATTCCTTAAACTGAAAAATTCTAGATTCATTTTTTACGTCTTATTTTCCAATCTGCGTCTCTACAATTTCTCTATCAGAGAAAACAAGAACCATCATTTAGCTAAAGTAAAAAAAGATTCAATATAGTATAATATAAATATAAAAAATAATAAATATAATAATCACATAAATGCAATATTCCTCTCTTGTTTGGTTCTGTTCAGTTCCATGAGCTTTTATATAATCCATGTATTCCCTAGCAAAATGGAATCTGCTGGAAAGGCAGCTGGCCACCAACTTTTTTTGCTGTTGTTTTGGGATTCTTTTGCAACATGCTGTGGTAGGAGGTGAGATACAAGTTGCAATTTTCAAATCAAAACCATCATCTCCATTATGTTCAGCACATTAAGAAGAACACCATCTCTCAACCAGGATGCCACAAAGTTGGTGATGCTTCAACCAGGGTGATGCAACACACGCTCCCTGCAGAGGCAGATTGGGATTGGGAAGCAGCTATAGCTGGAATCTGTGCTCTTGCTACAGCACTGCTTGGTCTGATCCCACATGCCCCTCCTGGAAACAGAGGGGGAGAAGCAAGCTGTGGGGAACAGGGCCAGGAGGCTGCTGTTTTTCATTTTCTTCCCCAAGGGCTGGGGGAGAAGCATGTAGTGGGAGGCTGTTGCTTTTTTATTTTTTCTGTTTCTCCCCCCAAGAGCCAGGGGAAAAAGCCAGCAGTAGCCAGGAGGCTGCTATTACTGCTTTTATTTTTTTTTTCTTTCTCCCTCAAGGGCTGAGGGAGAAAGCCAGTAGTGGTCAGGAGGCTGCTGTTACTGACTCCCAGTTAGAAAAGGGGGCAGTGAAACAGACATCCAGGAAAGCTGTGAACTGTCCAGCACTGGAGGTGTTCAAGAAGAGGTTGGTCCAACATTGATTGGGGATGTGCCAATACTCCTGCTGAGACTCAGCTCTGGAAGGTCCTGGCTAAAGGGTCCTGCCCCTTCTGCTCAGGGTCAGACCAACTCTGCACTGGGGTTAGGAATGAATTTTCCCCTGGTCAGATTTGTACACACTGGGGGGTGTGCCTTCCTCTGCAGTGGGGGCATGGCTTCTGCCTGGGATCTCGCCCCCATGTTCCAAGGCTTGCCAGAATTTCCTCTAGGGTGGGAATGCTTCCCACCTTTTCTGCTTGGAACCGGGAAGTCTTCTCCCCCCACAACAAAATCACAGGGCTGGCTTGCTTTTTTCATGGAAAACACTTAATTTTATCTTTTCCATGAAAAAAAGAAGTCACAAATTGAATCAGTCCCTACGTACAGGGAGCTAATGTTTTGATACATGTCACATTTTACTTCAGTCTCCAGACATCACATTCAAGTCTACAAAAGATGACACGGACTGCAAAAGTCACCCCTAAAGACTGTGTCACTCAGTTTGGCAAGGATAAATTTCATACCAGTGGTACTGTGCTGTTTTGTGTTGCATGCAACAAGGCTGTAGCTCATGTTTGAAAGCAGACAGTTGTAGATGGAAAGCGTTAAGCACAGAGTGAAAAGATATGAAGAGAAGATGCTGAAACAGTAGGGCCTTCAACAAGAGTAAAGAAACAATTCACATGACTGAAGCGTTCCAGCATTCTACAGCTGCCAAAGATCACTGTGACACGGTCACTTCGGATTTTGTTTGAATGTGTTTAAAAGCAGACTTTCTTTTGCATAACATAGATTCACCTGTTAGGGATTTTTTGAGCAATCCCTTTAGGGGAGGCAGTGCCACTGCCAAACCAGACCATTTGTATTCTCACCTACCAGCACTTTGGAGAGAAAAAAAACAGTGTCTTAATGACTCTGAGGGAAACTCCATTGCTGTGATCACCAATGAAACAACTGACTTCCAAAATACACCAGTTTTCAACATTTTATTTCAAGTGCTCAACGTACGTCCTTTTAGGCATGCTGACATTCCCACACCACAGCTGGTAAAAACAGAGTGCCTGGGCAAAATTAGTCATGCCACCATTTCACAAGCCTTGATGTCTTACATGATAGAATTCAGCATCCCACAAGCATTTGTAACAGACAGTGCGAGCTACATGATGAAGGCTTGGAACAATATGCTTTGCAATCTGTATTTAAACTGTGTACATATTCGTTGCTGTGCGCATATAGTTGCTCTGGCAGGAAATACTTCACAAGATACCTTCAAGCAAGTGGACTGCTTTGTAATTGATGAAGTCACTTTTAGTTAAAGCTCTAGCTCATTGTGCACGGTTCTTGAGATACCTAAAGGAATAGTGTTGATTCACCAGTGCTTCCACCTCAACCAGGATGTGACCAGGTGGAATACATGGCTCAACTGTGTAAAGTACCATGCACAGTACTAGAACTCTACCCTGGGTTTGTGGAGCATGAGCAAACGCAACAAGGGGATACACCCGTTCTGCAGGAACTAACCAGCCTGTTAGTGGTAGAAGATCTGCGCACAGACCTGAAGTACATTGCGGAGAACTCTGGACAACTGATGACAGCACTGGGCATTTTACAGTCCCCAAAATGCCAAATACATAAAGTGTAAAACACTGTCCTGGATTTAATTTCATGGTTTGAGCATCTTGCATCATTCTGATATAATAAAAGGCGTAATCTGTGTGTTTGTCTGTCCATAATGCTTTTGGGCAACTGTGCATGCACTGTCCAGAGGGCCAGCAGCAATTGGCTGTGGGGGCTCCGCCTCCTCAGGCAGGGAAAGAACTGCCGCTGCCTCAGGCGGGGAGGCGGGAGCCCCGCTGATGCGCGGGAGAAGGTAGAAGCAGGCGGGCAGAAGGGAGAAGCCACCGCCACGTCCTCAGGTGGAGGGAAGCCCCGCTGCTCTGCGGGAGGATACAGAGGTGGAGGAGGGCAGGGGGAACAAGCCACTCTGCCAGATGCTGGAGAAGGAGGCAGCAGCAGCAGAGGGACTGTTTACATTTCCAGCCCTGAAGGGTGAGCTGGGGGCAGGCAGGAGGCCATTTAAACACTCCCCTAAAAACTCCGTCATTCATGATGGGCCATTGGTTAGTCAACTGCTAATGTGAAAGGGTTTGCAGCTGCTCAAAGCACTGTTGATAAACGGAGACAGAATTTTGTTCATTCAGGACACTCCAGTTTAAATCTAGTTATCCCAGGTTTCTAGGTGGGGGCTCGAACCAAAGCTAAACTTATTTGCAACTCCCTAAAACTTTAACCTGGCCTTATTACTACCAACAGATGCAGGGAACAGAACAGCAAGGGCTAGCACTACTCAGAGCCACAAAGCAGCAGGGAGGACAGCCACTGCTGGACCTGTGTCCTGGTGCAGGGGGGGAACTGTTGCCAGGAGGGAGGAAGTTCAGGGCAGGCAGGGGCTCAGGTCAGGAGTGATGGGCACCAGCATATCAGGGCTGCTCCAGTGCTCAGCTCCACAAAACAGTGTGTGGGACAGCCACAGCTGGACTCGCTTCCTGGTGAGCAAAGTGGGAAGGTGAGGGGCTCTGATTTTGCATGATAAAAAAAAAAATCAAGTGCCAAAATATAACGGTATTTTGAAGGTATTTTATTATAATCATTGAGACAATGGTAGGCTTCCAAATGGCTTTAAAATTGTAACTATATCAATAAAACATTTTGTTCAACTGATACCTATATATTTAGGGGTGTTTTAACTGTGGAAAAATGTGGATTTGGGGTTTTTTCACCTGAAAATTTGGGTTGTTTTTTTTACAGAGAAAACCAGGATCCCTGCCTGTGTCTCTGCTCCTGCCTACTTTAGGTCTAGCAGAAAACCTACAGGCAAGAGCATGTGGCAGCATGCTGGCTGAGAAGCTCTGAGGTAAGCAAAAGCAGCACAAAAGTGGTTCTCAAACCAAGGGTACCACAACATTCAAAAAAGTTGAGGGGTGTGCAGACTGAAAAGGTTGACAACCACTTTAACAGGAATTGCACGTGCACTGAAGACGAGGGGAAGAAAGAGAATCAGGATAGCACCTTCTGATGATCAAGTATCTTTAATACTCTAGATACTTCCTATGTTCTCAATACTAAATGACAATAAAGTGAAAGTTGTACTGAAAAACTAAGAAGCAAGATAATGAATACCATCACCTTTCCATCAGCAGTTATCAACCAGCCAGTGATTACAGAGCCACAGTTTTAATTACCAAGCCTACAAATTATCCCCAACTGCCTCTCTCTATTCATATAGATTCCCCTTCTTTCAGCCATCATCCTTCTTTGGCAGCTGCTGCTCCTTTTTCCATAAGGCTGTATATCTTTCACTTTCACTCTCATTTAATTTTTGTTTTTAACTGAAAAGTAGACTTTTCTCTTACCCTAAAAGGTTTGATACCTTCTGTGCCCAGTTTCCTCAAACTCCTTGTGATCCCCAGATCCTCCTCATTTATCTTGCAAACCTCAGCCAAATTGTTAGGACTTGATGTCTGTTATCAGAGATTTAAAAAAAAAAATAAAAATCAGTGCTCTCATCTATAAGACTGAAAGATTTTCCCAGAAATGGTACAAGATCCAAGAGAATTTTAACTAAAACTGTAAGAAGAAAGATAGAGACCATTCACACACATGCAGAGATGGCCAAAGCTAACCAATTAAACAAAACCAGTTACCTCTGTCTAGAGACTTCCCTCAAGCCCCTAAAGATACAGAAAAGAAGTCATAGAGTGTCTTAAAGATGTAAGGCTGGAAGGGACCTCAGGAGATGATCTCATCCAACTGGAGATTGAACCTGGGACCTTGGTGTTATTAGCGCCCTATACTAACTGAACTAGATGGCCATGATAGAACACTAATATTTCAGAAATTCTCATCTTTCAAGATGAAAGTCCTTGTCTACAAGACCATCATTTTATCAAGTCTCTCTCTTGCACTACCTCTTTTTGACCATTTTTTATAATAAGGCCTTGTTATATATTACACTGTGAGCCTCACAAATATCGACTGGTGTTAGTGTTAGCTTGAGTTTGCAGCAGCCACACATCCAGGCCAACAGGGGCCTGGAGGACAGAAAGTTAAGAATCTCCCCCTCTCCCATTCTGGGCTTCTCCAGGCAGCAGGGAATAGGGGGGCTCCCCTGGTTCTTCTTAACCCAGAGCTCTCCCCCTGCTCCTCAGGGTTCCCCCCTGCCCCCTCCCCTCCCCTCCCACCCACTTTTGGCTGCCCACGCTACCTGTCCCAGGGGGGCAGGAAAGGCCACTGCTAGGCTACTGCTCTCCTCCAAGCTGAGCCCACCTAGAGAGAAGAAGCAAGTGTGGGGGGAGGCCGGCAGGTTAACCTTTCCCAGCCTGCACCCCCAGGACAGACAAGGCAGGAAGCCAAAAGTGAGGGGGAGGCAGTGAGTGGGAATCAGGGGTGATGGGGATGGCAGAGCTGGCAGGGGAGCAGTGGACCCAATCTAGGCCAGTGGGAGTAGGCGTGTGAGTGGGGTATTTACACTAAGGTGTAGCCTATAGTAGCTACACCTTGGAGTAACAGGAGTAGCATGAGCTGGGTAACACGGATCAGAGATAATCATGCCCTGGAGCAGCATAACTTTAAGCTGTCTAAGGAGTTCTTAAAACTAGTTTCACATGTTAATGTGTAGACAATCAAGGGGTTAAGAAATCGAAGAGCCACCCAAAATTACTGTGAAACAAGGCCCTTAATCTCAAACACTCCTTCAACCTGATTTGGTGTCAGAAGTGTCCTGGTTTTACTCAACCTCTTGTTCAGAATTACAGCCTTTGTACAGTTATAGTGATGACTTTTATGTAACAGTGACTGTCTTTCTCTTTGCTGAAGGATAAGTTTTGTTCTGACAGTTGTGGTGTTAAAGATAGTGACCATATGTTTTCCATAACTCTAGTTTATCAGCTATTCCCAGAAATGTAAAGTATGGGCTGAAGACAGATGGTATTCTCTACATCATGATGTTCTCCTAGCCCATGTGTCTGAATAATATTTGAGTAATCTTTGCTATATTATTATAAATTAGTTTTATTTGTGCAACAGCAAATAGCACTCACACCTGCAAACTGGACAGTGCCTTGAATTCTGCAGTATGAACAGTAAGTGGCTGACCAGTATACACAGAACAGGAAAACATGTTCATCATGGCAGGAATCCCCCCTCGTAACATCAAGAGGTCTGGAATACTTCTTGACTGGCAATCAAAGTCCAACAGGAAGCCCATCCACTACTTGACATAATGGAAAAATACCCAACGCAGAAACATCTAAGAAGCAGAAAACCCCTACCAGTATCCACCAGAAACATCAGAGAGGAAGCAGGAGACAACATACTGTCATCATGGCCCCAGAGAAGATGGAAAGACCAATAGAATAACAACCACACCCCACTACACAACTACATACAGCTACTATCCTCACACTCTCCTGGTCATAAACTCATATGTAAGGCATAGGTAAACCTGAATCGACTGTGATCAGGCTACAGAGCCTTCAACAAAATCAAACATAAAATGGGCCTTACAAACATGATTTCCCATGCTTCCTTCCAACATTTTACTCTTTGTCTCCTACAGCATTCAGAGACGTTTTTACTCTTTTGTCTCCATCTCACTCCCCAACTATATATCAATCTAATTATTTAAAGTGTCTACAATCCAAATCAGTAAAGTCCCCGCTGAATTTCCCCATCCTCCTCAAGTTGGGCTGTTCATAATGTTTGCCCTTTGAAATCTCTCCTGCCACTACTCAGATTCTTTCCTCTCTCAGACTTCTCCATATTCTCCTCAGTACCCTATAGCATTTTATCCCCTCCCTACCACTTTGCCTCCTTCCAGAATCCCACAGCTCTTCAGCAGCCTAATCTCTTGAATCCAACACAGTCCTCCTGTAGCCCCAATAACTCAGTACTTCCTCAGTATCCTCTTAGCCATTCAGTCCTTTTGCAACCCTTCTGCCACCCAAGCTGCTAGTATGTCTGTCTGTGTCTTCAAAGTATCTCACCATAACTGGGGCTGGGGCAGGAGAAGGAAGGGTATGACAAGATTTTTTAGTACTGTCTTCTGCCCTCTTTACTGATTTGCTAAAGAAAGTTGAAGAGCAGACAGACAGCAGGCACAGAGATAAAGCAGAACTTGTGCAAAGTTGGGACCCATCTCTCTCTGGAGTCCCCAGAGCATTCCCCTGGTCTCTGGTTAATGCTGGAAGGGTACAGGAGACAGCTAACCAATACTGGTCTTTCAAGGACTTCCAGAAAGAAAATACAAGCTAGCCTTCTGGAGATCCACCGGGCCTGGGAGCAAGCTCCAGATACTATCCCAGGTGATAGGCGGCTCTGCATTTGCCAACGCTATGCTAGGAAAGGAACATACAGTAATCATTTGGTTACAGCTGTGTGTTTACCAGTGAGAAAGAAAATTAATTGGGGATGCTAAAAAAAAGATGATTCTGAAGATTTTCTCCTCTTCAAATGTTGTTCTTCCTGAGTATAAGTTCCTATTTTTGAGTATCCGCATTATTCCACTTATTTTTAAAAAATGCAAGTTTCCTTCTCCTTTGAATAGTTCTTAATTTTATGGTTGTTCTAAGCCAAGACTGAACAGTTTTTTGCCAATTGTCTGCCATGAATGTAGGAGGGATTTTTTGCTGTATCAATAGTTTGTATTGATGCAAAAAAGAAGTGGCAATGAAGTTAATATAGAGGAATGTTAAAGTGCTAAAATGCTTCTGCTTATAGCAGCAAGAAGACTCAAAGCAGGAGCAAATGCTATAATAGGGCATCTATTTAAAGTATCAAGACCTTGTATGTCAAAGGATTTTACTTAGGGGTTTATTGTTTGCTTGCTTTTTTAAAGTGGTTGGCTATTGTTGGCTTTTCAAGGGTTTTTTTGCTGTTTTTTGGGGGGGTTGTTTTATTTTGTTTTTACACACACACACACACACACACTCTCCTGATGATCTAGTAAGAGTGTTGATGCCTTAATGATCGAATAGAAAAATTATGATCACAAAGTTAAACATATACTTTGTTGTATCTCTACAGGTTCTGTAAGAGCACAGGAAAACAAAAAAAGTCTTATCTTACATTTAATGGCATCCTTTTTATAAGGGTTACATCCTTGTAGACTTTCTTTTAATTATGTAGGGGAAAAATAGTTATTCCCCTCTATTTCTTGTTCCTAAGCAGTAGCTGTTAAGGAGACTCCCATAGGCTAGAAAATATGCAAAGTTAAGACAAAACAAAACACTAACCAGGAAGTAGGTTGAGTATTACAATACAACTTCTAATGTATTACTACACTGATTTTTGTTAATTCTGCTATGAGTTCTCCAGCTTTATTTAGGACTTTCAGTTCTTTTTCTTTATTTCAAAGCCAGCAATTCAATAACAAATACTCTGGCTCTAAATACTTTATTTTGCAACCAAAATCCTGAATTTAAAACAAAGCATCATGTTTCCCAGAGTTGGTAAGATTTTATAAATCACGACAAATGCAATTGTCTTAAGAAGTTAAAAACAATGTCATGCAATCTGATATGTGACATTTCACAAACACTTCAGATGGAGAGGATGTCAAACTGACCCTTCATATGACTATCTTATAAATCCTCACAAGTCATAGATACAGCCAGAATTTTAGGGTCAGTTTTTGTGCTCTGACAGTATCTTTTCCCATGCCATAAACAGGACCAACTAGAACCTTTTCCACATATCCTAGGGAAAAATGGATAACAAAGAGGAGGCTGTAGAACCAGGAAGCAAACTGTCCACCCTTTTGCTATACATAAATTATCTGGAAAAATCCTTCATGGCCGCCACACAGACCCGGAGGCCCAAGATGGAACTCTCAGCAGCTTGACTTGAAAGAACAGAGGTGGTGGGGACTAGGGAGGGGAAGGAAGTGCAGAAGTCACAAAAAGGACCACCAAAAAAAAAAAAATCAACGGACACAAAATACCCTAAGTCTGACCCTAAGACTGAAGTTTTGTGTAGGTGCACTGAGGCAGGGTTTTTACACCTAATAGAGTGATGTGGTAGAAACTCCAACCAGGACTCTTCAGTGATGTTTTCTTCCCCTAAATCCTTTTATCTCCCATGGATTTTAAAATGGAAGAAGAAATGTTTGACTTCTTAAGACTTAGCACCTGCAACTCAAGATAAGCCATTTAGAGAAAGATTAGTGCTTAGGTGCTTTTCTTAAAAAAAAAAAAAAAAATCCCCCCCAAGAGATTCTCTTTTCCTTGGGTGTCTAAATACCTTTAAAAAAGAATCTGGCCTTTGGGCCCAGGTCAGGAAGCCAAGATATGATGTTCACTATCTGGCATAATCCTGTTAACTCTGTTCTGTGGGATTGGCTACATCTGTGCTGCTGCTCTCACAAATTTTGTGTAGCCTGCTCATGTACTACTAGTGCCATAGCAGCATGTAGTTCAGCAAAACACATCTGAAAAGCTAGATAAATACTCAGACAGTCAGTCCATGT